CCTAGTGATGTTGATAATTGTGTTATCCTCACCCTATTGCTATGAGAGTTTGTGCTGTTAGTGAATGGTAAAATATTTAATGGATTGTCTTTACCAAGTGATTTTCCTTTTCCCTTGACTCTGTTGTATACTCCACATTTCCCCTTTTCCCTAAACAATTATATGTATTAAAATTACAAGCCAGTATGCAATTCTTTGGTGTCGTCTCACCTTAATTTGCCCCAAGGGAATATATATATAGAACCTCCGTGAACCCCACTTGTCCCACCCAGGGTGGTTCTGTGTGTTGGGTCGCGACAAAAGCAAGCTACAATGCTTGGATACAGTCAAAGTTTCTATGATGGAAGCATAACTGCTCTCTGGCCAAAGACACTCATAACCATCTGGGCTCTGGAGTATTAAAAAAACCAAAACACAGTCCCTCTCAATTCTTAAGATACATGGCAAATGCAATAGTTTTCAAAGAACTGAAATGACCAACCAGTCTGCTGCACACAGGATAAATTGCATTACATAAGATTTAAAGTACCATTTTAAAATTCAGTACTACGACAGCCTTTTTCTAGTGACAGAATATTTTCATTCTTTCGAGAAAGGGAGCGATAAAGACATGTAAATATTCCCTATGTAAAAGAAGACACATCAGATAAGCCCCTTAGAAACATTAGAAGATCATATTTTAGTGCCTATGAACTGTCGCCACAAGATTGCTTCACTTGGAAACTGAAATAAGGTGACAACATCCAGTTTTCATTATAAACTACATATTCAAGTTACACTGCCAGACAGGCTTTCATTTTTCCAGGAACGTTCATTAGGCAAGAAGCAGCAAAAGTGCCCTTTGAAGTCTTAAATGTCCATATGCTTCTGATTCTCAGTCAGGAATCCTTCAGGAACCTCCTTGCCCTGGTTCCTTGAGACATCCTTCCTAGTTTAGTCATAAGAAAGGCAAAATAACAATGAACTCCAATTCTGAAACCAAACTAATCAGCCTGCATGCATGCAAGCCTTTACCATTCTTCTGAGAGTTGGGTCAAAGGGTAAAAAAAAAGTACTACCTGCATTCATATTGGGGGCAATGAGGAAGCCAGAAGAATCAACATTCTTAAGCCATTTTGTAAGTACTAACTGCAGTACGATTTAAATATTATAAATTAACATGTCTACAGTCATGCTACGTGTTTGCAAAGCAGACAAAAATGAAACTAGCTCTGCTCAGATAAGTTTCATACCAATTTGTAATCTTCTAGCTCCTTTGGGTCAATCCCATCAGGATTCCAGATAGAACCATTAAACTCTCCAACAGCAACGCACTTCGCTCCAAAACGATGCAGGTATCTCATAGAATGCAAGCCCACGTTACCAAATCCCTGAAGGTGGAAAGAGAAAAGCAAAAGTAGTTAACCTTCAACTATGATGATGATTATTGCTAAAGCTTATATAGCTTTGAATAACTTTAAGTAGTTCTTCACTTATTGGCATGTCTTGGCATTAGGTGATGTGTAGAGGAAAGATGAAAGAAATCTACATGCATTCTGCTCTGAATACCATTGTAGAAATTATGCATTGTAGCCAGCAATGTAGAATTGTGCTAAGTTTTTTATACTGGAAATAGAGAAGGGAAGCATTAATGCTACTACGAAAGTGTCAAAATTATGATATTTATCAACATAGGAACATTATGTGCATCTATTTTATAACTGGCACTGTCGTAGGGGATTCAAGGATTCTTGTATGACAATTCTAAGGTCAGGAAGTATTATCATTTAATTTGTAAGGAAGGCTCACAAGTGTAAAATCATCTCAGAATGGAAAGCATTAAACAATATCATTAATTCTTCACATTAAAACATGCAAGCTAGTAGGAAACTAGGTTAATTTCCAATACATTTCTGAGTGGTCCTGTACAAAACAGATTGCCTAAATTTAATTTAGGTAACCTTGTATTTCATTAGCATGTTTTACATCCTTACAGGTATAGAAAACCTAATACAAGGCCATTATTCAACATTCTGGAGTAAATGAACACCCATGGCAGACCAAAAGGTCACATGATCCATGTCAAAAGTTTGTAGTAAGATTCCATCCTAGAAAAAAGATGAATATTAAATTCCTGTATAAAATAGCTCAAATTATGTTTAGGATTTTTCTTTACATATTAGAAGCAAACTGCAATAAAATAGTTTGTTATGCACTAGGTTTCTTTGCAATGCTTTATCCTCATTTTCCTAGAGAAATCTTCAGCTATTCTTTTGGCCACGTTTTCAGTCTAAGTTACGCTTAAGTGCCTGTCGGTTAGCCCTCTGTGAGGTATGAAAATGCCAAAGTGCAGGGAGAGGACTGTGCTGCTGGGTCTGTGCAGGGCAGAGATGCTTGTTTCAGCCCACTGGTTAACTAGAGGACAACTCGGAGGTTACAATTACTCTGCTATTTCTAACAACCAGTGGACTGGTACTAAAACCAACAAAACAAAGCAATCTCTTAAATCCTCTGTTTAACATACAGTTCAAAGCTGAACAGAACAAGTTATTTCTTTCAGATTTTAAGAATGATAACACATATTACTTCACCTTCAAACCCCTTCAAAATTCAACTACATAAATCCTGAGGTCTTATGAACACCAAAAATGTACATTCAGCGCTACAAATTTAGGATAAGGTATTGTTTTCTACTTTTCCAACTGCTCATTCCATAGTAGAACAAGAACATAACCCCAATTCCTACCCTGCCTAATTTTTTTTATTATGAAACAGTGCAACAAATTTTGTGTAGGCAGAAAGATTGCTACAGCTCACTCAAAAGTGTGCAATCCCTTAAAGAACTCCTGTAATAAACTGCAAAGAACAAAGTGAAATACTATGTTTATAAATACTGGAGATTTGGCTTTGTGCCTGTACGGTGCAAACAAAAGTCCGGTTTTCAAAACACAGTCCAAAATAAAGGGCACCTATGTTCCTTGAAAGGTGTTTCTAAAGTTTGAGAGTAAAGGTTAACTTGGAAGTTGTACAACCCTAACAGGATGCATTGCTACAGCCCTTTTTAAAAGCAGCTCTACTGGAAGTTTGTTTACTACTTCTTCTCTGCAATTGAAGGAAAAAAGTTACCTGAACAGCAAATGTTTTATCTCCAAATCCAGGAGTCATTCCTAATATACTCATATACGATGCTTCATTGATGAAATTTTCAATTCCATGGAAGAGACCACGACCAGTTGCAGATATACGCCCATGGATCCCACCCTGGCTGATAGGTTTACCAGTTACACACGCATGTGCGTTAATATCCTGCAAAACAGTGAAGGACTTGTGAGCTACGGAATTAATCAAATAACAGCGGGAACAAGAAGTTTTGTACACTTTTGAGATAAGGGAAAATAGGAATTGAGTCAGAACATGATATACTTTATATACATTTAGTCTGTAAAGATTATTTCCTTCCTGAGCTTGTACGAATAGCTTCTCAGACCTACTCTAGCAGATGATGGAAAAGTTGTGTAATGCAATATTGGATAGGGTCTGTAATTTTTTTTGTTGCATTTAAGTGTATATATGAACTTCAGTCTGTGGTTAATTAAATATGGTGACATCTCTGTTGCACTGTTAGCAAAGAGCAGACCTTTTACAAATCAAAATCTTTGAGGGATGTGTTTCTCAAAATTAGCTCCTATTACAGCCATAATTTCCACCATTATTATTGACATTTTAATCTTTTAAAGGGCTCAGAGATATTCTTGGACTAGTCACAGCTAAGCTGTTTAATAATCTTTAAACAGTGTTTAGCGTTCCTGTATACCAAATTCAGTTGTTCAGAAACGACAATACAGGCCTAATATTTCCCTGTTGTCAGAATACAGTGATGTTTCATCTCGGAGGAAAATCTACAGTACCAAGGTCATATGGGAAAAGTTAGATAAGTATTTACTACTTTATTCAGAAAAGCAATATATACAATCAAGCCTCTATCATTAGTTTGGTGGTAATAAAATTAAGTGTTCCATATCCTAGACAGCTAGCCCAGACAAAATAGTCTATTTAAAAACAAAGTTAATTTTTTCAAATTGAAATTAGTAACTTGAAAAAATTAATTCCAAACTAGACACTGTTTGGGTCTCCCTCTTTTGTCACCACTGGTTCCCATGCTCCCCACACCCTGGAAGCATTGTAACACAGTGGCTTGGCATCCAACACAAGCAAAAAAGCAAGGATGAAAGGGAATCCACTGAAATAAGTCTGCCAGCAGCCGGATGGGTTTCTATTCCACCAGCCGCATATTCACTGGGAGGCTCCCTCTTCTCCATCACTTGTGCCAAATGCATCTGCATGCCTGTGGCGTGAGTGCAAGATGCTTGGTGAGAGGAAGGAAAGAAGCAGACAAAAGTGGAGCCAGAAGGGCAGATGAGTAGAGCCATAACGGAAAGAAAAACTATTTACTGTTTGAAAATCATAGTGGGTTAACCCTATAAAGCCAAAGATAACCCCTCTTTAAAAACAATAAAAGTGACACTGGGCTTGCCACAACATTCCTAATTCAGTTTCCCAAAACAAGCTGCGTTGCTCTCATTAAGCTGTACGCTCCCTCTGGTGGTACATCCACTGCAAACAGGGTCTGTGGTGCTGTTCTGCTAGGAACAACTTGCCCTGGCATTTTGATGTATTTTTAGGTTTTCATTCTGTTTCAGACTGAAACCACATTTTAGCCTTCATGTATGTACAAAGGAGGAAGTATGTTTTATAAACACTTGAAGAAAGACAGCCTCCCACAATACACAGAATGTACTGACTAAAGTCCCTTCACTTGTCCCAAAAGTCAGATGGATATGTCAGGAAGCACAGAAGAGCGGAAATGATCAATTTAATCACAAACTTTAGCCATATATAAATCAGTGATCCAGCAACTTAAGGTGGATTTTCTGGAACAGTTAATGTGGTAGCTATTAAAGACTTGCATGGTTTGGCAAGAAAACAGAGCATGAGGTGAGGGCAAGTCTGGGTCTTCGTAAAAGCCACATATACAAACCACAGTTGATGTCAAAGTCCTAAGAACTTAGGTTTTAAGTCAATCAAAAAACACATCTTGGGCCAAAAAGAAAGACCATAACTTTTAATGAGAACTTTGTAAAATAGCTTATGGCTAGCATAAAGGCACTAGGCACTAAAAGCCTACGAACTTAGTTGTCAAAGTTCAGACACTGAACTTTTGTTCATTTCTTAGCCCCCTCCCATGCTGCAGTAATATTCTCCTTGTATCTCCAGCTTCCTGGCTCTGTATGTTAGGTTTTGAGCAGACTTCCCCTACCTGCTTAGATCTTATTCAGCGTTTCCTTTATACTTCAAACTCCCTGAACACATCTGTGTGCAACCACACTGACTCATCAGGTTGGCACATTTCTCAAACAGATCCTTTTCACCAAAGAGTTATCTTTCCATTCAACTGAATGTAGTCCCTTGCACAGCTTCCGTCTGTTTTATGAATTACAGTTAGTTTCACTTTTGTTCAATGGTCATCTTCTGCTCTTAGCTCCCTTCCCTCCTTCCTCCATGGTCACTTTTATGTATTTGGTATTCCTTAATTACCTTTATTTTTGTTCTTGGTGTCTCAACCATACAGTTATCTGACACATCTTCCTCTACAAACTGCTTTTGATAGATTATTCCACTTTTTACAGACTTGTCAGAGTTCTCATTTTCCTTCTCTATACCTGGTCATTCTCCACAGTAGCTCTTAAATTCCATTATGGCTACCATTCTCACAACAAGCAACCCAACAAAATTAATTAAATTGATTCAATTTTTTTCCTTACTTCAATTCTTTAATTAATTTTTCAGAAAAATTTTCCTAAATCCTCTCAGGTTTTTTTATGCTTTAGGAATAAGATACTGCCATGCAGAGAGAGTCTAGGAATAAAATAAGCTATTGTAGCATAATTCAAATTGCATTTTTATCCTCAGTATCTGTTCATTTGTTTTCTCTTGTCATTGAAGCATGCATATGTGTAGGACTACATAAGCAGCTGAGATGATGGAAAGAATAAGAAACTCAGCAATTTAAAAATTTTCTCCTGTATCAGTGTCTAGTTTTCCACCTATTAAAAAACCCAAAGCTTCTGTATAAAACTGTATGTGAGCTATTAACAAATACAGCAAATCTTAAAACAGGTCATGTGCTATGAGCTTCTGTGTCAGTCGTAAGGTAAGAATACTGTTGTATCACAGTGAAATATGCATTTTAGTGCAATGAGTTAAATGTTAAAACTAAGGGAGAATGTTGTCATTCTGTGTGTTGAAGTCTTTTTGAAGTAGTAATTTTGGCTTGTTATCAGGTTTAAAGTCTTAAATGAAATATTTACATTTACATATGTGAATAAAAAAAAGCAAAGTTTTATAGTGATATCCCTGTCTAACAGACAGCTCTGTGTTAAAGGGATTTAACTCAGCTAATCAGCATGCCACAGCCTGTTCCTCAAGCTTTCATTTTTCACCCCCCATTAGATATCTTAGACTGTATTTCAAAACTAGAACAACCTGTGCCACTCCATCCTCCTACTGTTAAGGGCATCAGGCAGCACAAGACAAGTATTCTGACAAGAGACCGTCTCAGGAAAGCCAGGCACATCTTGAACAGACATGCCAGAGAAAAATAAGTGTTGTGTGGCTCTAATGTCTTATTACTGGGGGTGTACAGTCTGCTGTATTTCTGAAGAACTGCTGGAAGGGACTGCAGAAAGTGAAAACAAAGAGTCTTCTCAATTCAAAAGGAGCTGGGATAAGCAAACATGCAATAGCTTAGAACATTAACACACTAATACGAAGCTATGGTAAGACTCCTTAGCAAAGTATGACCTGCTGGAGTAGCAGAAACAGCATCTGAAAGAGAAGCAAGAAAGTTTTGGTGGGGGGGAGGCAGTCAGGGGAGTCTTAAGAAATAAGCTGTCCATAATACATTTTTCTTTCATCCAATCTGTCAAAAGTATACAAGAAAAGTGTTTAGTCAACACTCATAGTTAAAACAGGAACAAATAACCCCAGCAACATATGACAAAAGACAAATTAAGGGCTATAATTAAAAACTAATTTTTAAAAACTTTAGGTTTTTTATTGCCTTCTAGGTAATACATTGTGTCATTGTCCTTTTACTTTACATTTTGGAGAATTTGATGAAGTCTGTGCTGATTACTTGTTACTCTTAGGGGACCAGAGAGGATTTTAGTAACTTTTACAGGTTAAACCAATAATGCAAACATAATTTATGTGGTCTCTTGAATGCACAAAGCCAGAGCATTTATTTAATAACATTTGTAAATTCAGTAGTCTGAAATTGAAATATTTCAGTTCTTTAAGACTATTACGAACTAATTGTTTAACAATGGGAAATTAGTAATTATAGTACGAATGAAGAACAGAGGGAAATGGTAGAAATAGAAACCAATTTTAGACTAAGTATGAGACCTTTAAAAACAGTGTAGTTCATTCTGCTGAACAATTGCAATCAGTATTGTATCAAAATTAATTTGAGCCTAGTATAAAAACATTAACCTTCAAGCTATTTTTCTTCAACTGTACCCTAAAAACCTCACACCAAATAAGTTTTTACAGTTTGCAAGAATATATTTAGATCCACACAATTAAAAATAATTATATGATTAAGTAGATGGTAATAAATTTCTAGACAAAAGGATTTCTGCAAAGACCAAGAAAGCTTTTCTACTTCAAAGCTTCTGCTCAAAACTTACATAGTGTCCTATGGTACTGGCATAGGTGTCAGCAATCCAGGACATCTCTCTCTCCCCTGTGCTCATATCAGGAGCAGGCACATCAACACCAGGTCCTGTTGGCAACAGTGAAAACAGCTTTTACAGATCAACCATGAATAGTTATCTTCAACCCTCATTCCCTTGGGAACTGTGCAGGTCTTGGCAGAGAAAAACTGGTTTCCTGTTTAATCCTCAATTTACTATGAGGATTAAAGAAGAAACAGATTATTATTAAGAAACAGATTCTTCCCTATTCAGTTCAATTTTAGATGCTGTATCACACATTTGTACAATACTGTCAAAACCTCCAACCTTTCACACAAGCCATTCAGTACAATGAAGGTCAGTTTGTCAATAAAAAGAGTAAGATAAAGAGTAAGATAATGGATCAAAAGCATATTTATACTTTTATTTTTGACGATCATTGCTGTAACAAGAGGATGGGCGCTATCTAGGTATGACTTCTATATATTATGATGTTAATTATTTTTTAAAATTAGAATTTCCTTTTTGTTCCTGGGTGAGTTTAAAAATTTAAGAAAGGCTGTTCCCACTCTTTGCACTGTAGCTCATACATTTGATTTTACCTGTCACTTCAAGAAAGAGACGTTACATCTTTCTTGATGCAATAAACCCTTGAAAGAATTTTCACACATCTGTTGTAATAAAACCAAAATCTGTCTGTTTTCTTTAGATAACTAAAAATAGCATTTGCCCAACCTATTTAAGATCAGAAAGACTTGCTCAGCAAGATTTTAAATACAACTCTGCCTCTATAATTTTTTTTTCCTAAGTATTTTTAAAAGGGTTGTGAAAGCTGCATAACACCAACCACAGAGCCAAAAAGGAAGACAAATTTAATCAAACTATTTTAATTGTCACTGAACTAACAACCACTATAACAGGCATAGTGTATAGTACTGCCTTAGTCACGTGTGACATCAATAAGTGTGTTTATACAGAGGCTTAATTTAGATGAGAAACACTCTGGCTGAAAAAGCAAATAACAAACACTCCGTCTGAAAAGCAAGAAAATGCAGATAAATGGCTATACATTCCCAGGGGCAGTTAGACATCAGGAATACATGACAGACCTTCAACTAGTTACATGCCTTATTATTCACTTGAATAAGAGCCTCCTCCAGGTAAAGATCCTCCATTTAATTACAAGTTGAGCTAGTAACTTTCAGGTTTCTCATAGTAACTCCAGACAACAAGCTATCAGAACAGCTCAGCACTGAGAGTCTGGAGGAAACACCTATTAACATCACAGAAGCTGAGGTTCTGTTACAACAGGCACCTGTGCTTCTTGCCTACGCTTCTCTTGTAGCCTGTGGTTGCCATTGGTGAAGCCACCAACTTTCTCTGGGGTGGATCTTCTATTTCCTTCCTCTGTTTCCTCGGATATCTGCCAAAAGGCTCAACTGAGACTACAGGAAACAGTAAGAGTGAAGAGTTTGATATTAGAGACTAAAATTGTAAGAAACTTGGCTCACAATTTCAAAATCTACCGCTAAGAGAAATGTGATTCATTTTGGATCCTGTGAGCTCAGCTTTTGTGGCTTTTTCATAGCAGAACAGCCATCAGAAAAAAGTTAAGACAGTTCCCTTTAAAATACAGTAAGATGCAATTGTGGCTCTTTGCTGAATGTTCTATACTCAAATTATTTACAGGTCTCAAAATATATGGTTATTTCAGGATACGATCTAGTGGATACTGCCAATACATAATAAAACAGACTCCTAAATTTTAATAGTAAAATTGCCCAACATACCAATAAAGCCCTTTTTTGCCAGCTCCATGGTAAACCTTCTTGTTATCTTTTCCAATTCATTGTCCTATAGAGAAAATGCAATAAATATCACAAGAAATCATTAGTATTTATGAACACTTCCTAGAACTTACGTCTAAGCATAAAGAGACGCCCTTTTCTTTTAGAAGAAAAGATGATTCTTATATAATTTATATGCCATGGTATTCAGGCAGCTCAAGGAAACATTCAGCTTTTTTTCCATACGTTGTGACCCACGACAAGTGGGGAGTGTGGCACAGGAAGAAACCTGTGCTTGTAGCAGAGATTTGTCAAAATAAACAAAAAACATTAACTTTTTCTAAGAGTAATTTAATTTAAACCTTTATTAACAGCATCAACTTAAAAAATTTCAGGTTCCAAATTATGTGTAGTCTTCTGACTTTAAGAAAAAAGTAATAAATCAAATAATTGAAGTATTTCACCTCTGAAACTCATACCTTTTAAAAATTATTTTCCTACCTATTGCATGCACGAGCGAAATTCAGCCTTTACAGAGGCAGAAGTGACAGGAAGTTTTAAGTGGTCAATAATGCCCTTAGAAGAGCTTTTTTAACTGTCTGGCTTCAGTACTGCAGATAACCAAATTTTTATCTATGATTAAGCTTACTGTGTAGTTCTTGGGATTGATCTTGACACCAGCCTTTGCCCCACCAAATGGCACATCTACAAGAATGCAAAGGAAAATAATTTTACTTCTTCAACAACAAAGGCAGAACACATCAGTAACGTGTGAGAAATTATATCTTTGATCTTAGCAATGATTTTGGTTTTGCCACATTTTGGGCTTCAGAAGTGTAAGCTATAATCTCACCTAGGTAGTCCTATAAAAATGGGAAATCTTTCAAGGGCAGCTTGAAAATGGTCTTTGAAACTTAAAAGCTCATGATTTAAATTTTCTATACTTCAAGATTTTGTACTTGGCACTTGTAAAACCAATAGTTTCAGAGTTTATATTTTACTGGCTTATCTCAAAAATTTTACTTTGCAAGTCCTAAGTATCTCTACATACATTAAGAAAGTAATGCTGCTGTTAAACTACTTGTTTTCTTATACATATTGTGGAGATTCTCTCCAAACTCCCCAACGATTTAGCAGCTGTGTATGAATTATGCTTCTTTATGACCCATAAAGGTATTTTATCCTTCTTTCTCCACAGCTCCCCTGCCTGAATCCTTTACAGCCTCCATCCGTTCCCCCTAAAATGAGCCCCCTCCTAATACAAGTTTGTCATACTTTGATTTGAGTTCAAGAGCAGTACTTCTACAGGGCGGGGAGGGGGGGGAGTAACTAGCAGAATTTGGACTTTTCAAATAAAAACGTAACTTTATTCAAGTATCTATAGTAATAGCAGAGGGAATATGTATTATTATTTTGGTCACTATCTATTTTTTCCCCATCTTACTACTGATTTTTAAGATTAGTATCTAAAACTTAATTTAAACCTTTAGATGCTTTTCTGTAAATTACTTCAGTACTGATTGAAATTTAAGATTGTAGCCTTGCTTGAAAAATTATCACTTACCAACCACAGCACATTTGTATGTCATTAGAGATGCTAAGGCTTTTACTTCATCCACACTAACATCCAAACTGTAACGAATACCTGCAAAAGACACACGAGAAAAAAAAAGGAATTCACTGAACACCTTCACAGGTATTTATAAAAGGGGAAAGCTAATTCTAGACCAGCCATCTATAAAATGCAAGTATATAATTTATCAGCTTATTTGTTTTAAGACTTACAGAACAATCCCCCATTCTCCTACTTAAATATCTTTTATTTAGCAGCAATTCAAGACTTCAGCAATTCTCTACACAGTAGTTTAACATCAGCATGCAACCTTAGAACAAAAGTGAATAATCCTGGGGAGGAAGATGAGCCAAGCTGACAGGTAACTCGGAGTAGAGCTTTCAGGAGGCTGATAAAGCTCATCACCATCCCATAAGGTCTTTAGCTTTGGAAGTAATTCATTGTATATACATGACGAACTTTGTTCCTGAATGTGACAGGTTATCATCAAGTTCTCTTTGCTGGAGTAATGCAAGGTCCTGTTAAGTTATGCGCCTGGCAATACCTTGGTTGTGGTCCAACAAAACCATATGTAGCTTCAAGAGCTCTGGCTGCTAGGCACAGCCACATAAGAGAGAGCAGCAAGTCACTCCACTAATTCAAATGTATTCAAAACGTATTGATGGAATAACTCTACTCCAGCAAGCTTGTGTGACCAGGCCACCCATCCTGCACCCACATGGAAGCCAGCCCACACCTGCATTCCCTTCTCTGAGTCATTCAGCATGACTGCAAGTGTGCACTGACACATGGTTCAGATGCAAATTCAAATTGTGATCTGATAGTGGCTCAGAAGCAAAATGGGTGATCCCAGCCTTCAAGACAGTTCAAAACTGAGCGGAAAATGATCACACAAAGGTAGGGAGATCTGTCACCTGCCTGACTCTTACCAAAGTCTTCTAAAAAATGAGTTACAGCTGTCCAATAAATTAAACTCAAAGTTAAAATTAATATGTTTTGGAGGCAGCTGCAGAGTAGAAAATATTTTAACTGAACTGGCGGGGCACATACACAGAACTACAGAAGCCTAAACATGACGTTTAAGATCAATGCAGTACCAAAAGTCATGGAAAAAAACCCCTACAGCTGTATGTTAGCTTCTAACCAAGCTTCTCCTACACCACTAAGCATATAACAGAGCCATGAAGACTATTATCCCCACCTCTACTCCCCCAATCCTTGGCTGTAAGTTGTGCCAAGTTGCACAGTGGCTTGTAGCAGGCACAGAGTGTCCCTTAGAAGCTAGGACAAGGCACCACAAACTTCCTATTAAGTAAAGAGAGGACCATATTCAGGTCCTCAGGAGTGAAAAAAGACTAGCATACATTATCCAAACTAAAGCACTGTGCTCCTATGAAAGCTATTCCTGAATGTGCTGGAAACAATCCCAGTTTCAAAGGAACTGAATGCTGCTCAAATAAAGCTGAGAGCCAACTGCTACTTTATTATATGAGTTCAATTAGTAAAAGAAAGTACCATGCCTCTGCAGAACAGAATTTAAATTTAGTAGGGGTATGGGGAAGAGTGGTCTCCAAAAGCAAACTAACTAGTTTCTGACTTAGGTAGCTGTAAAGTGTTAATGTCTGGGCTTTCAAGAGCTTTCTCACAGGAAGTAATAGTCAAAATTTAAGTGGAATCTATCAGTGCTCGACAGACCAGTCAAAATGTATGTGTTTTTTTAACACATCTTAACTCTGATCCTTCAGAGGAGCAGTTATGCTTCTGTCAAGCCCTGAGCAAGAACAACCACCACCTATGGCACTCACTGTCCTGCCTGGGGACAATGTTCCCTGCTCAATGTTGGCTGAGCAGGCAGGTACTCTGGGGACAGGTCTCATTTGAGTATTGCTCAAGCCAGCCAAGTCTGAAGCCACAATCTATGCTGGGCAGAAATGAACTCTGCCCCTCCACCCCCAGCTCAACTAGTTCACTGTGTATTTATTCAACCCATAGATTTATTCAAACTTCAAGCTGCATACACAAAGCAGTTTTGCTGTAACTATACTCCTGCAGGCACACAAAATGTTGCTTATTGATATATAGCAAGCAGCAGGGGGCTAAACAGTTAGGGGTTGTTATTTTATACGTTTTTAACAGGGAAGCAAAATACAAGAGAGAGCAGCCTCGTCTGCACATCACGTGGAAGATCAGATGTGAATAAGCAGCAGTTTAACTAAAAGATTCAAACACATGCAAAACAGTTACATCTCCCGTTTCCCTGTATTACAGTCAAGGTTTACTACAACTTTACTGTAATTAATCTTAAATTTTCATACCAAGGGAAATAGGGAAACAGCCCCAGGGACTAACAAAGTACTGAAAGGTTTTCAGCTGAGATGCCTGTTTGTCACCCATGTACATATCACAGAATAGAGAAAACTTTCAGACTTGAGACTGGAACTGTCCTTTTCCGGAAAACTTCGTATTTTTAAGCAAGATTTAGCTTCTTTACTAGCCTTTTAAACAGCTTTAATTGAAATGGTTTGTCTGCTGGCTTTACCTTAAGTGTGAGATTAGTTAATTCTGAGAGTTGTGCTGACTTCACTAGCCACTTTGTTCCAGTTTATCTGCTCAAAATTTTCATTACAGTGTCAGGCATAGTTCGGTGTGGATTCCAGGTTCCATGACAGGTGTGACAATTTTTTTCCTTTCTGTAGTGGATAATGTTGAAGTTGTGCTATCATTTCATTTCTTTTCACAATTTGGACAGTTATCGTTTTCCAGGAATTGTAATTACTCCACAGAAGGCCCACCTCTTGACACAGGGAAGCTATTTGTGCTAAGCTGTTAGGACTGATGAGAAGCAGCCATCTGAGAATGCTGCACATTCCATCTGCAAGGGGATGCACAAAGATAAAAGACTTAAATTCTATTCTATTTGGACATTAGTGAAATTTAGTTTGACAGCTTCCTAATTTGGCAGGAGAGTATTGCCATGCATTTATATGGCTCTTTTGGCAGTGTTACTATGCATTTGATAGCCTGAGTCTAAAAATGGACTGTATACACAGATAAAATACTGTGCCAGTGGCTTTTTTTAAAGATTCTTAAATACTTAAGCAAATGAAAGACACTGCTACACAGCAAGATTATCATTTTTTTAAACTCTGGTGAGTCCCATGCAGCAAGTCTTTGGAAAGTCGTGACTTTTACAGCAAACTAGCTACAAAAAATAGTTTGAAGAGAGCCTCAAGTTACAGTATGACTCACTGCCATGGAAAATACTTTTCACTGGAAAACATACAAATTCTTGTTCTAGTTGAGAATTCTCTTTCCTTGCCACACCCCAAGAAGTTAAACAGCATGCTAAGAGAGACTTTATTTTTCTAAGCGCAAGACCTTCTAGATGAGGAAATGTTTTCATTTCAATTTTGTTTCATTACTGCTCAGCATAAAGAGGAAGCTTTATCATCACATTGCAGTATCTATGCTTTCAAAACTTCTTTTTCATGATCTGTGTTTTGGAAATATTATACTTCACCCAGTTACTGCTTGCACTGAGCTCAATAACTGTTTTGGCCAAAGTAAAATTGCTCACTATTTAAGTTTGGATTCTTAGACAGACGCTATGCATTAATTTCCACTTTTCCAAAATGAGGTAGCAAAGCACTTTAAACACATTATTTTAAAAATAAATATCAAAGTAGTAATTATCAGTAAAACTGTATTTTGGATTCTCAGTCAGTTACCATTTTAATCAGCAGGTTTGTACTAAGGAGCATGCTAACAGGTGCGTAATAAAGATCTTGGTCACAAAGAAACCTGCCTATACATCCTACTAGATTTTATGATGTACAGATTTCAGTATGTTCCGTGATGTTCAGTGTGCTTATTATGCTTCCTTAGAAAACACGGTGTACAGAACTAGCAACTTTTTTCAAGGATGATTGCTGCCTTCCTAACATGCCTAAAAATCTACATTTAGAAAAGTTGGTGTAATTATTTCCTGCTCTTCTAGCGCAATGATCTTAAGTGGTAGTATCTACATATGCCCTCACCACTAATGAGTGTGAAGTATTCAAAGACAAGTCTCAAAACTAAACAGTTGCCAAAGTAACAGTTCAGAGCAAAACACTTGGTAAACTACTCCTCCTGCACTAAGTATCTTGCAAATCTTAGCAAGTCTCTCAGGTTCCCCAGAACCTGGAACATATTTGCATCTCAGCCTGAATTACTAATATCTAACTGAGGCTTCTGTCCTGCTGTGGTGTTTTCTTCTAGTTGTGATCTTCTTTTGATCTTTGAAACTAATTTGGGTCCTTTACAGATGACAATTCATATTAAGATGGTGCATTTGTTCTGCTCACCTCTATTTGCAAAATGCTTGCTCACCAGAACAAGTGTTTCAGGGCAGCAGCTACCCTATACTACCCATACAGCACTCAGCCAAACAGATTTAGTGATCTCATTTGAAACTTTTTAGGACTGAGTACAGCCATATTAATCTCCCAGTTAGCAACACTAGATTCTGCAGCGGCTCTATGGGTGAACAGCTTGCTTGACCCTGTTCAACGGCTGACATTACATCCAGAGTGTAAAGGAGCTTCAGTAAAGATGCTCACCTTGTCCAACCTATTCAGCAAAATCCCCAAAATCCATAACTCAGCTCCAGCATTTATTGCAATGCCTTAGTTCCATAATGTTTTAACTCTGGATTATGTATAACATTTTCATTTAGAGTCAGTTGGGAAGTAAGCAAGTGAGACTGATTATACTACTATCAAATTCTATGTAATAATTGACACCTAATGCCATAGGAATCAATGTTCCAAGCAATCCTTAGGCTCTTTCAAAACCAGTACATTTTTCTAAATTCAGAAAAACAATTCAGCCTTCCCTACAAGGAGACTGTTTAGCTTTATCTAACCATTTGGAAAGTGTGGTAAACAGCACAATGACAAATTTGTAATTACTGAAGAAGCAGCAATTCCAGACAAAGCTAACAAAGCAAGATGAGTAATTCAGTGCTGGAAAACTCAATTCACTAACTGCCAAGAGAGGAGATAAAAATATTTCTCTCTTCCCACACAGCA